TAATTATGACCTAAGCAGCACAATCGAGTACATTGAAGCTATTTTCATCCCTTTGTCAGGCAATGTGCAGGAATTCAAAGGGCCTGTTTAGATGTGCTCCAGGGCTGCTGAATGACAGATATTGAGCTCTGCAAACAGGAACACATTCCCTGGCTCCAGGACTGGGCTCTGACGCTGCTCCCAGCAGCATGCACTGCTCTGCATGCCCCTTCAGGAATGTCAGAGCTCTGGGAGGAGAGGAAATTGGACACTGCATGGAGCCTGCAGACATTCCTGAAAGCACAGCCCTTCATCCAAGGCATCCTCTGCTCCCTGAGCTCCTTCAAACACCCACGTGCACAGACAGAAGGGTTGGAGTGATGATCCTGGAAGTCTTTTCCAACCTTAATGATTCCATGATTTGATATTTCATCCTTCAGTCATGTCCAGCAAGGTGCACTGAATATACATCCAGACATGTGTAGCTGGGCTGGAATGTTTTGTGTTCACACCTGTGGATGTTGGGATCATTCAATGTAGAATTTAATGTGCAATTTAAAGTGCAATTGTGTCTCTCTACCTCCTCACCATGCAGACACTCAGTTGAACTCCCTTCCATGGCTGCTAGCACAAGCACTGCTGACAGCTTCCCAGGGACATCACAGAGAGCAGAAACTCCTGGGAGCCAGGCTGCCCAGTGGGTTCAGAATCCAAGGCAGGGACACTCTGACAGTGCAGTTCCCAAGAACCTCCTCTGCTGCTGCCTGTCACAAAATCCCAGAGTGGTTTGGGCTGGGACAGAGGTTAAACACCACCTTGTTCACCCCTTTCCACCATCCCAGGTTGCTCCAAGCCCTGTCCAACCTGGCCTTGAGCATTTCCAGGGCTGGGACATCATCCTAGAGGTCTCTTGCAGCTCTAGCATCTCTGTGATTCCATGCCAGCAGAACATTTTTCTTGTCCCAGCCACTGACATCAGACCATCACGGTGCTCAATACCCTTAAGAGCCTTTTTTTTTCCTAGAGCAATGCTTTCCATTTTTAATAAAAAAAACCAAAAAGGAATTCACAAACCTTAATAAGAGCAAGGGAAGTGCTTAAAAGCAGGCTTGCTGCTTCGAGAGGCTCTCCCAGCATCTGTTAGCACTTAATGGCCTGGCCTGCTCACAGTGGGAGCATGGAGTGGATCTCCTGTGAGCCCTGCTCGTGTGTGCTCAACCCAGCCACCACCCAACTGCATCACAGCACAGCTATGTGGGGACAGGAGTGCCTCCAGAGCTCAGCTGGTAACCTATGAGATGCCATATAAATAAATACTAATATGGCAGGAATTTAAAGGTTGGTTCTCCTTTTGAAAAAAAAAATATATTATTTTTTTAATGGAATGGAAAGGAAAAAAATCCTCAACTTCTGCCTGAACAAGTGAAGGGTGCATTTAAAAAACCCTGTGCTGCTGCCATCTGCCCTCCTTGAGGGTTCAGCAGGACAATTCAGCAGTGAGAAAGAGCTGTGAGGCCCCAAGGCTTCGTCCATCTTGGGTTAGAATCCAGAATAACAATCCTCACCCCAGCAGAGAACAGATGGACAATGAGGGGATGGTCTGACCTGAAATCTCTGTGCGATGCTTTGTGTTGTCTCTGCCTGTTGGCACCCCTGGAGCATCACAGGGAAGGGCTGCTAGGATGCCTCAGTGCCACAACAAACCCAAACCACACTTGGGTGCTCAGAAAGTTCTCAGCATCAGCTGAGGCAACATCCTGAAACCCCAAACACGATGTGGCTAAAAACCTGCAGCAACCCTGGCCTGGCATCACAGAGAATCCCAGGATGGTTTGGATGGGAAGGGATTTAAAGCTCAGCTCATTCCTCCCCCTGCCATGGCAGGGACAGCTTCCATCATCCCAGGTTGCTCCAAGCCCCATCCAGCCTGGCCTGGGACACTTCCAGGGATCCAGAGGCAGCCACAGCTGCTCTGGGCACCCTAAATTCTAACTGACCTTGCACCACTCCTGCATTAAATGTTATTTTAACCATCCCTTCAAGAAATGGAGGCTCAGAGTCTTCAACCACCTTTAATGAAATCCCCAAGTCTCAGATTAGATTTTCAGAGATGTATTAAAGCTGCTCAATCTCACTTTGCCTCCAATAACATCTGAATTCTTCTGCCAACTCCACATCAGCATTTCTGTCCTGGCTCAGAGCTGGGATAGCTTTCAAATTTCATTGCAGCTCAGTTTCTGGAATTTGGAAACATCTTCTGGCTATGACCTCATCCTCCCTTTACACAGGTTCATTTCTTAAGACTTTAAACACTGTCAGTACTTCAGCTTGAACATTAATTTCATGGCAAAATGAAATGACTTTTGTAACTCAAAATTTCATGAATTTTGAGGTCACTAAAGCAAACATCCAAAGCACTTTGGCTTTTTATTTAATAAAGACAATGACAAAATCATAGCAGAAGAAACTTCTACATCACATCAAATTTCTAACTGTCTTTAGTACAATGAAAAAATTGATTTCTGAAATTGAAACTGGAGACCTGCAGTTGAAAACAGAGATGTTGGGGCAGTTGTAATTAGAAGAGCAAACTGGACTCATTGGATGTTTCCAGTAAGAGCCAAGTAAACAAAACTTCCAAGTCTGAGAGCTTAAGAATAGCAGTAAGTGTTAAAAGTTTTAGAATGCAAGGCTTAAGTATGAGCTGCAGGAATTTACTGAATCATAGAAAATCCTGAGTTGGAAGGGACCCACAAGGATCATCAGATTCCAGCTCCTGAACATAAAAATTATTTCTCATTTGACTAAAGTTCAAGTTTTATAACAGCAGGTGGGATCAAATCCTGGGTGAAAAGCTGTAGGATTTATAAAAGCTGATCTCTGACTGTAGAACTTGTGAGTTTGAATAATTGTGGATTACAGATGACACAGAGACCTCTCTCTACACACAGAGCATTGTGACACCAGACACGAAAACCACTCACACCTCTGGAAAACCCTCTGGAAAAGGCATTTTGGGAATGCACAGGGAGCCTGCCACTGCTCTGGCTCATCCCACAAGCACATCAGGTGCATTCCCTCAGGGAACTGGGGACAAAGGTGGCCCTGGCTGAGCCCTGCAGAGAGCCCAGCACCACTTACCCGTACCAGAAGCGAGGGTCGCTGGATATGCAGTGGTTGAGATTCCGGTGGGCCAGAGCCTTCTTCTTGTTCAACACAAATTCCTGCAACTTCATCTTCACTTCTGTGCTTGCCACTGCACCTGCAGTTACAAAACAAACATTTAAAAAAAGGTTGTTAATTCAATTCGTGTATTTGAAGGCATTTTAAATTTCTAAAATAGATCCCAAATCAAATCTTCCATTTCCAGTCCAAAAAACAAGAACTTTGCTTTCAAAGAGAGAAAAACAAAGTGCCTCCAGTAAGGAGCTCTCCTTTTTTATCCCTTTAGCTTGGCATAGATTCACAAGTTATGTTTGAAAACACAGATGAAATTGGGTTTATTTCACCAGAAGAGGATATTACACTTGCAGAGAAGCACACTCAGAATAAAGCACTTGTCTGGGGTATCCCAGCTCTCTTTGAACCACAGTTATTTAAGAAAAGGGGTCTTGTGCACCCTCAAGTTGTTAAATGTCACATCTAAAAGCAGAAGGGGAATGAGCCCAGTGGCTCATGTGTAGGTTTTGTCTTGAAAACTCCTGTAAACAGGGACCTCTTTGTTCCCAATCTCTGTGCACACCACCACCGACGTAACATTTCGCTTCATTTACAAGCGCACGGATCTCTACCTTGAGCTAGAAAACCTAACATTTAAAAAAAAAAAACCTTCAAGAAAGGGAGTCAGTCATTCTGCAGAGCTAAAATGTCAACTGTGTAATCCCTAATCATGATTTCCTGCACAATGGAGAGCAGGCTGTTCCCCTGCCATGATGGATCCCAGTGATCATTGGCTTGACAGCCCAGACTCCCAGGCAGAGCTCCTGACGGAGCAATGCATCCCAAGTTTGGCAAGGGGACACGTGGAAAATGATGCTTCATCCCCACCGTGGCGTAAGGCAGGAGCTCCAACGGAAAATATCTGGGCTGGGAGGAAAGGGAAAGGCCAGGGAAGCTGCTGGCTCTGCTAGGAACAAGAACTAAAAGATCACCCTGCCATGTTCTCGTGTCCTGCGCCCTGGTCAATGATGAGGTGATGTTTGACATGCTGGGAGAACAATTCCTGGGCTCTCTCCAAGAGCAGGGAGCTGCAGCATTCCCACAAGGCTCTGCCTGGAGCTGTAAAATGGTTCAAACACCAAAGCGAGAAAATTCCCTTTTTTTGGAGCGCTGCATTTCTCACCAGCTCCACAACGCCAGTTCGGTGGAAAGTTCAAGCGAAGAGCTGCAGATAAATTCCTGAGTAGCAGAAGGGGTGACAAATCCATCCTTGAAAGCCTTCTCCCTCCAAAATGTGTCATCCTTAATCCAGTAGCATCCTTAGAACACTCAAACCTGGCTGTGTTCTGTCTGTCAGGTTGCCATAAACCTGCTACTTAGAAGACTTGAAGTTCAATACTTTTGGAGTGTAAGGTTTACCTCCTTTACTGGAAGCTGAAAGACATCACAGAACCTCAGGGAGCTTTGGGGTGGAAGGAACCCTAAGGATCATCTAATTTCAACTCTGTGCCATGAGCAGGGACACCTCCTACTGTCCCAAGTGGCTCCAAGCCCGATCCAGCCTGGCCTTGGGCACTGCCAGGGATGCAGGGTGGGCACCCTGTGCCAGGGCCTGCCCACCCTGCCAGGGAACAATTCCTAATTCCCAATCTCCCATCCATCCCTGCCCTCTGGCAGTGGGAGCCATTCCCTGTGTCCTGTCCCTCCATGCCTTGTCCCCAGTCCCTCTCCAGCTCTCCTGGAGCCCCTTTAGGGACTCTGAGCTCTCCCTGGAGCCTTCTCCTCTCCAGGTGAGCACCCCCAGCTCTGCCAGCCTGGCTCCAGAGCAGAGATGTTAACAAGGAAGCAGAACAAACTCCACCTCTCTCACACTCTCTTCGTATTTCAGATCAGGACAATTTTAGCTTCTCTTTGCCAAATTTTGAGATGTGAGAAAAATAACTTAAGTGTCCTTAAGCACTGAGGTGCGATAATGATTCTACACCACAGAACTTCTTAAATAAAAAGTAACTTAAAAATAAAACTGTAGTCATGGGAACAGGATCTTCAACTTAACATCCCCAAATTCTGGTTTTTTTCCTCTACACCTCTGTGTTTCACCCAAAAGATGCTTTGCTTCCATTTTCCAGAGATTCAGGCATTTTAATTTCTTTCTAGATTACTTTAATGAGAATGGCCAGGTTCTGAGGAGAGGCCCAGCAAAACCTGGATCAAACAGCAACAGGTGATGGGAGCAGCAGGGGGAAGTGGAAATGCTTAGGGATTCTGAACCTCTGGTCTTTCTAGAACTTAAAAAGGTCTCCCAGACCCCAATTTTATCTTACTGAAAACGTTCCTGGAGCTTTATCTTATTCCCAGTTCCCAGCCAGCATCCCATCTTCGTTCCACCACTTCTCCCATCTGAAACCAGACGTGAGGAGTTGATGGCACAACTTGGTATTTTGGTATTTGGAGGTATTTTTCCCCGCATTCACTTGCAGAAAAAGCCCAAACAAGCAGCCCAGAGTATCTCTGATAAAGGGACATTGTGAGGCCACAATGATCTCCTCAAGTGCATAATGACACAGAGTGGGGAAGGCACCCACAAGCTGTAACCTCCTGAAAAAAAATCCCCTCATGAATGGGAACGCTTCAAAAAGGGGAGAGCTGTGAACTCGACTATGTCTTAAAAAGAGTGAAATTCAGAGCGGCAGAAAGAGAAAAGGAGTGCAGCGTGCATCTGGTGTATTTTATGGGCTTAATATTCTGCCTCCATTAGGAATGCTGCCAAAAATACTTCAAAAAATGTTAAATCAAGGGAAGAGAGGATACGCTTCCTTTTGAAAAATGCTAAAATGGCATTTAGTGAGACAAAAATGAAGATAAAGCAGAGAAACGCATTTCTCTCTTCCCCTCAATTCCCTGTGCCCTCAAGGAGGTTCCTCCAGCTTTCTGAGGCTCCTCCATGCCCCCATCTGCCTGTCAGCACCCGAAGCAGTGGTGCTTTGGCCACTTACTCTCTTTCCCCTTCTCTTTGTTTTTCAGCTGCTGCAGTTTCTGCTCTCGGTGCTGCTTCTCCAGCTCCTGCTCCTGCCGGTGCTGCTCCAACTTCCTCTGGTGCTCCAGCAGCTCCTGCTGATGCTTCATGGCCAGCATCTCCTGCTGCTGCTGCGGAGAAGGGAACAGGCAAAAGGAGCAGGTTAACACCATGGGTCTTCCCAGAGCCAAAGCAGATGCTGCAGGCAGGTGACAGTAACAGTGCTCCATTCATGGCATGAAGGACAAGCACGGGACTCCTTTCATCTCCATCACCTGATTTTAAATAAAACCCCACTAGGGCACCCTCAATATTATTTGTTGCACGGAGAAATTGTGGCTGCCCCATCCTTGGAAGTGTTCCAGGCCAGGCTGGATGGGGTTTGGAGTAACTTAGGTGAGTGGAAGCTGTCCCTGCCCATGGCAGAGGGTGGAACGAGATGGAATTTAATGCTCCATCTAACTCAAACCACACAGAGATTCCATGATTAATTATAAAAATAATTGCTCCAACAGATAAAAGAAACAATTATCCCAACAATTTCTCCAGGAAGGATTTTCCCTGGCCCTCTCAACTCACCCATATTCATGGGAATAATCAGGAAATGTGATGTCTAATTAAGGTAATTATTTGCAAAGCTTGCATCAGATGGGACAATCAAGGCTGGAAGCACCAAACGCTCCTGCCCCAGTGCAAATCCCCCCTGGGCTCCCCAAGTCCAGCAGCTGGGAGGTGTCAGTGTCCTCACCAACCTCCAGGGAAATTTGGGGAGCAGGGGGGATTCACACAGGGCAGAGCTCCCTTTTTGGGTGAGAGAGGATTCTCCCAGCCCAGAGATTCCCATTTGGGTGCAGAGGGGATTCTCCCAGCCCAGAGCTCCCTGTTTGGTGCAGAGGGGATTCTCCCATCCCTGTTTGGGTGCAGAGAGGATTCTCCCAGCCCAGAGATTCCCATTTGGGTGCAGAGGGGATTCTCCAGCCCAGAGATCCCAGTTTGGGTGCAGAGGGGGGATTCTCCCATCTCAGAGTTCCCTGTTTGGGTACAGAGGGGATTTTTCCTGGGCAGAGCTCCCTGTTTGGGTGAGGGAGGATTCTCTCAGCTCAGAGCTCCCTGTTTGGGTGCAGAGAGGATTCCCCCATCCCTGTTTGGGTGCAGAGAGGATTCTCCCAGGGCAGATCTCCCTGTTTGGGTGAGGGAGGATTCCCATGGGACTGAGGGCAGCAGTTTGATGCACTGTGTGAGGGGACACCCTGAGTCCTGCCAGGCTGTGGCAAAGCAGGTGTACAAACAGCACATCCCAGCTGTGGGAGAGGAGCAAAGGGATCTCTGTGAGGTAAAAACCACTTTTTCTTCAAAAGCAGAGCCCAAAGGATGATCTCCCACCGTGCAGTTGGGCCTGCACCCTGCTCAGCGAGGCGTGGGCCGCTCCTGGGCCTGCCCCACAGGCCGGGAATGGCAGGGCCCTGTGGAGCCTCTGGAGCCTCCGGAGCCCAGTAAAGCCTCCGGAGCCTCCGGAGCACGGCGCCCACCCCGCACTCTTTACGTTGGCAGCTCATAAACCAAGGGATTGATCGGAGCTGGCAGGCTGCAGCCCCAAAGGCCCGGCCTCTCCAGGGCTGTGCTTAATGGGGGCCTGTGCTCGGATACCACCCACGGCTCCCGCAGAGCCCCGGGGCAGAGCAGGAGCACGGAGGAATTGTGGAATGCTTTGGGTTGGAAAGGACCCTAAAGATCATCAGCCCGTTCCAAGCCCCTGCTGTGGGCAGGGTCCAAGCTGTGGCTGTTCAGACAGGGAATGTGCTCTCTCCAAGAACATCTCAATCCATCCTTCTCCAAACCCTGCCAGCTCCTGCGTACATGAGACTCCCACCCCAAAGGTTTTTCTTCTCCTTGAGCACATTTTCCTTTTAATCCCTTTAGCTGAGATTCTTTGGGTGTCTTGTAACGAGGATCATCTTGGACTTGATGATCCTCGTGAGCCCCTTCCAGCTCTGGATATTCCAGGCTCCCCTGATTAATTTGTGGCATTGCACTGTCGCAGACATCTTTTCATTAAAAATCCTTCTTTAAGATTTTTTCTTCTTGAGAAGCTGAGAGGCTTCAAGGCAAAATGTAAACAATGATTGTCTGCTGCTGTAAAATGCAACAAGTGCATCTGTGATTGGTCTCATGTAGATATTTGGAATTAATGGCCAATCACAGCCCAGCTGGCTCTCTCTCTGTCTGAGCCACAAACCTTTCTTGATTCATCCCTTTCTATTCTTAGCTTAGCCAGCCTTTTGAAAACCTTTTCTTCTATTCTTTCAGTATAGTTTTAATGTAATATATATCATAAAATAATAAATCAAGCCTTCTGAAATATGGAGTCAAATCCTCGTCTCTTCCCTCATCCAAAGACCCCTGTGACCACTGTGACATTGCACATTTGCACTGCCCGATGCTACAGCCATGGATGCACAATAAATACAAATAAAATCACACTATTCTATATAAAGATGGAAAAACCCCACAATCTAAGAGGTATTTACAATCTGCCTGGCTATCTGCTGGAAACTCCCCATGGAGGAATCCCTGCTGCTGCCTGTTCCAAGCAGGCAGGCTGTTGTAAAACACCAGCAATCCAGTTATTTTGTAGTGACTGCACCTATGCTTCCCCTCCTAATTCTATTGAATTATATGTAAACAACCAAAAATCCACACTGAGGAAAAAAAAAAAAACAAAACTAGAAAAGGAGGAAAAAAAATAGAGGAAAGCAGCTATTTTTGTTTTCTAATTAAGCAGCAGCTTCTACTAACACGTCTCCATTTGGGGAAAGAGTCTCTTTCCCGACTTCCAACAAGTCCACCACATGGTGGGCTTTGAGAACCTCGCCATGGAAAGTATGCAAATGAACAATATTTAATGCACAATATGGTAAAACAGGTTTTGTTATTTTTATGGAATCAGGAGCCTTTTCTCTCCATCTGCAGTCTCCTAGGCTCTGCAGGCTCTGCTTCCTGCGATGGTTTACATACATTAGGCTGCTTTAGAAGGAGCTGTGCTTTCATTGACATCTGGAGTGAAATGGGAATGAAAAGCCCAATTTGTCGCTGGATGGTTTAGGGAAGTTTCATTAGGGATGTATTGTCTCTGCTCATTTTGACCCCAGTTTCCACAAAGCCTATTCTTAATATAGTTTTTGAAATGGCTTCAAAGTTGAGAAAAAAAAAACCTAAAAAAACTAAAATAATAAAGCCACGTCTCTGATTGTACCCATGAAGAATGAAAAGAAATCACTGTTGGTGTCTGCAGTAGCCTGGGAAAACAAAAAAAGAAAACCCATCCGGGTGTCTTCTCAGGGTTATTTCTCCACACTTACCAGGAATGTTATGGGAAGACAAAAAATTTAGGCTGGAGGTGAGGAAAAGGTTCTACCCACAGAGGATGCTGGGCACTGCCCAGGCTGCCCAGGGAATGGGCACAGCCCCAGGCTGAGAGAGCTGCAGGAGCATTTGGACAATGCTCTCAGGGATGCACAGGGTGGGATTGTTGGGCTGTCAGGAAAAACATCAGTTTCTGGTTCATTTAAAGCAACAGAGGCAAATTAGAACATGCACTGTCCACTCAGACCCTGTGTGTTCACCACACACAGCTGGGGCAGGGGGTTTATTCCCCAACTGTATTTCCCAATCACTGAAATCTCATTACAAAGTGATTCACAGAGGGAAATCCCTGGATCTGAGGAGCACTGTGTGACAGACACACACACGCTGCATTAGGGAGCTCAGAAAATCCAAATTAGGTGCTCTTGCCAAAATCAATATTTGTAAATATTCATAACTATGGGGATTCCTGCATATGTTTAATGTCACTGCTCCCACTATTTCTGAAAACTGCACAAATGTTCAACTGTACCTGCAGTTAGTGTTGCTGGTGCTCATTTAGCATAAATTAATATTAATAAAGGTAACAGGGAGGATGCAGAGCATTTCCAGGTATTTATCAACCGTCAGCCTACCAGGAGGACTCAGCCATCCAGAGGATTTTGCCACCACACTCCTCAATTGTCTTCAGAGCTCCAGCTTGTCTGCCTGGGAGGGGGACTGACACCTTATCAGTAGAGAAACTGTCACAGAGAAACCTCTTTTTAAGGGAAATGCAGCTAAAATAATTCTCTTGAGTCTTTGCAGTGCCCTCCCAGGAAGTGTGGAGTGCTGACACTGAGATCCCATTTCCCAGAGAGAACCAGGCTGGATTTCATGGAGACACACTGCATTAGGATTTCCAGAATCACTCCTCCAGATGCCAAACAAGAAACCAAGCAAAGAGATCCTTCCTGCCCTCCCAGCTCAGACTGGCTCCTGGGTGTTTACAAGAGACATTTTGTATAGCAGCAATTAGTGGAAGGGAGAGCAAAATAATTGTGGAGATAAGCACAAGCCTGGGTGAACAGAAGCTGGAACACTTCTGGCTGACAGATACTCCCTGGCATGCAAAGTTGCTGCGTCCAGCTCCCAACTGCAGCTCAATCCACACCAGAGTTCAGCTCCAGCATGGGGGGATATCAGGGAAAGGCCCTTCTGCCACCTGTTCTGGCCAAATTCTACAGTTTGGCGGGTTTAAATCAGGTATTCAAAACGATCTTTGGGCTCAGGCTCTGTAAAAATAAAGTCAAATTGTAGGTGAGGATGAAGGAAAACTCTCGAAAAACCCTTGGCTATGGGTGGAAGCAAAGCACAGGTGCTGGGTTTCTGGGAGCTGCATTTCTGGGAGCACTGCTCTGTTGGGCTGTTTCACAGTGATCCCAACGCTGGCTGGACTCTGTGCCTCATGTTCCCCCATCCTGTTTACTGAAGTCTCGGGCTGTGGCTCCTGTTTCAGGATCTGCTCTCTCTTGGCTCTGTGGCGGCGTGTTTGGGATATCTCCTGGAGCACCGGGCAGAATAAATCAGCTGTGCTGGAGTCTAGGAGGGGGAAACATTGTGACTTCCAGCAGCAGCCAAAACACAAAGATCTGGGAGAAGGAGCATCTCTCATCTCTTTTCTGGGACACGCATCCCACGTGCCCCCTTCCCGCCATCGGGCAGCTGACAGCCAGCTAAACCCGTGCCAGAAATTCCCATGGGCAGGGAATTTTCTGCAGGGAAATGA